ACCATCGAGGGTGGTGGGATGAAGATACACATGCCAAAGTTCAAGATGCCCAGCATGGGGTTCTCCAAACCAGACATCAGGGGCCCGAAACTTGACATGGATGTCAGCATGCCTAAAGTGGACATTTCTCTTCCTGAAGCTGAGCTCCATGTTGCCAAACCCGAGATGAAGGCTGGCAAACTCGAGGGTGACATCAGTATCTCAGCCCCTGACATTAAGATTCCAACAGGCGAGGCCACCCTGGAACTGAAAGTCCCGGACGTAGACATAGAGGCTCCTTCTGGCAAGGTGGCTGTGGAGGGGCCCGATCTTAAGCTGGAAAGCGGGGATAGTAAGTTCAAAATGCCCAAGTTCCAAATGCCCAAGTTTGGAATTTCACTGCCCAAGGGGAAAGGTGTCCCAGAAGGAGAAGTCACCATACCTTCCATGGAAGCAGATCTCCCCAAAACAGGACTGAAAGCGGAAGTCACACTGCCTTCTGCGGAGCCCAAAGCTGATATTAAGCTGCCAGAAGTGGAGATCGAGACCCCTAGCCTAGACGTGGAGGTTGGGGAGAAGGGCAAACTCAAAATGCCTGGAGTAAAGGTGCCTAGCGTCAAGGTCCCCAAGCTCAAAACGCCAGAAGTAGGTATCTCCCTGCCAAAGGTCGAGGCAGACGTCTCCCTCCCCAAGGGAAAAGCCGAAGTGCCTGAAGGAGAGATGACTGTGAAAGTGCCGGAGGCTGAAGGCACCATCGAGGGTGCTGGGATGAAGATACACATGCCAAAGTTCAAGATGCCCAGCATGGGGTTCTCTAAACGAGATATCAAGGGCCCCAAAGTCGACGTTGATGTCAGCATGCCTAAAGTGGACATTTCTTTTCCTGAAGCCAAGATCCATGTTGCCAAACCCGAGATGAACACTGGAGAACTGGCGGGTGACATCAGTATCTCAGCCCCCGACATTAAGATTCCAACAGACCAAGCCACCCTGGAACTGAAAGCCCCCGATGTAGAGATAGCAGCTCCTTCTGGCAAGGTGGCTGTCGAGGGGCCCGATGTTAAGCTGGAAACCGGGGATAGTAAGTTCAAAATGCCCAAGTTCCAAATGCCCAAGTTTGGAATTACACTGCCCAAGGGGAAAGGTGTCCCACATGGAGAAGTCACCATACCTTCCGTGGAAGCAGATCGCCCCAAAACAGGACTTCAGGGAGAAATCACACTGCCTTCTATGGAGGATCAAGCTGACCTTAAGGTACCAGCAGTGGAGGTCGAGGCCCCCAGCCTAGACATGGAGATTTGGGAGGAGGGTAAACTGAAAATGCCTGGAGTAAAAGTGCCTAGCGTCAAGGTCCCCAAGCTCAAAACGCCAGAAGTAGGGATCTCCCTGCCAAAGGTCGAGGCGGACGTCTCCCTCCCCAAGGGAAAAGCCGAAGTGCCTCAAGGAGAGGTGGCTGTGAAAGTGCCGGAGGCTGAAGGCACCATCGAGGGTCGTGGGATGAAGATACACATGCCAAAGTTCAAGATGCCCAGTGTGGGGCTCTCCAAACCAGACATCAAGGGCCCCAAAGTTGATATTGACGTCAGCATGCCTAAAATCGACATTTCTATTCCTGAAGCTGAGATCCATGTTGCCAAACCCGAACTGAAGGCTGGCGAACTCAAGGGCGACATCAGTATCTCAGCCCCTGACGTTAAGATTCCAACAGGCCAGGCCACCCTTGAACTGAAAGCCCCCGATGTAGACATAGCGGCTCCTTCTGGCAAGGTGGCTGTGGAGGGGCCCGATGTTAAGCTGGAAAGTGGGGATAGTAAATTCAAAATGCCCAAGTTCCAAATGCCCAAGTTTGGAATTACACTGCCCAAGGGGAAAGGTGTCCCAGAGGGAGAAGTCACCATACCTTCCGTGGAAGCAGATCTCCCCAAAACAAGACTGAAACCAGAAATCACACTGCCTTCTGCGGAGCTTGAAGCTGACATTAAGCTGCCTGAGGTGGAGGTTGAGGCCCGCAGCCTAGATGTGGAGGTTGCGAAGAAGGGGAGACTCAAAATGCCTGGAGCGAAGATGCCTAGCGTCAAGGTCCCCAAGCTCAAAACGCCAGAAGTAGGT